GTTAGTCGCGATCGCTGTTGTGCGCCCCCATCATCCGGGGGCCTCAACGTCGTTAATTTTAAAGCTAAGTGCGCTAGCCTGCGCCTTTCTGTTTTTTCCAGTTTAAGAGATGACTTTGGCACATCCAAATGGCATTACCTAGCTCGATATTTTTTAGGACATAAGCTAACTATTCTAGATCCCCGTTTTTCTTTTCCCACCAATTCTGCTCCCTCTTCCTTCCTTCCTTCCAATTACTACCGCCTTTGTCTAGATAATTTCCGTACCTTGCATCAGAAAACTGGTGCCTTACCTGATTTACTCACCGGTAAGAATTTATATCTTTTGTTGCTTGACCCCGTCTGCGTTGCACCCCGGTGCTCCGGTTTTTGGGCGTCTGCTATGGACCGCCCCATCAATTGTTGGGCCTGGGTGTGGCGCAAGTCTCGCCTAAAGCTAATTGAAAACAAGAAGAACGATCTAATTTGGCTATTGATCCATAGAATGATCCGCGTAAGATATCTCCTTAAGTCTTGGGGATACATCAATAGTGACAAATGCGCGATCTGCGGAAAAACGGAAACTATTGAACACTGCTTCTTGGGATGTCCCAGAGTTGTGAAAGTCTGGGACCACTTCTCCCCCTTTTCCGTGCTCTACTCGACTCCCCCTTCTCTATCTCCCCTACATCTGTCTACTACCCTTTTTCCCTAGACAAATCTACCACCGCTATATCCTTATCTAACTTTCTCAAGGCAACCATCATATATTGGTGTTGGCTTGCCAGAAATAAAGCTACCTTCGAAGGTTCTCTTTTGAGCTCCAACGCGATTATAGACTTAATTAAGAAAGATGTCCAACTCAGAATTCTTAGTAACGACACTGATACCTTAAGGAATTTTTGGTCTTTTAAAAACGTACTTTGTTCGGTCGACGCTGGTAAGCCCATCTTCTTCCCCTCTCTTGCTCCCCCCTGAACCTTCGTATATAATAAAACTTGTTAAATCTCGCCCATGAGGGGTGCTTACTCCGGGCTACAGGCCCGCGCGCTGTTTGCGCCCCACATGGTCTGAAATATCTCTTTGTAAATAGTAAATAGAAAACTTTTAAATAGAACTTTGTTACCTCTTACAGGTGGGCGCTTACTCCGGGCTGTTATAGCCCGTGCGCTGTTCGTGCCGCCTGTGAGAGAAAATATCATTAGTTAATTGAGACCTGTAATTACCTAAATAACTCATAATTGAATTCGAATACTTTAATCAATTAGAATTGTAAATAGATATCATTGACGAAATAAAACTGCCTGGTCTCCAGGCTTTTATATTTAAAAAAAAAAAAAAAAAAAAAAGTACTGTAAGTGGCACAATCGTGCATATATATATATATATATATATATATATATATATATATATATGTATATATTAATATTATGAGAGGAAAAAACGACGCAACTACATATCCCGACAAGCCTGTTTCGTGAATCGCTTCACTCTTCAAGGGTTTAAAACCCTTAATTAAACCCCTGGAGAGTGAAGCGATTCACGAAACAGGCTTGTCGGGGATAGGTAGTTGCGTCGTTTTTTCCTCTCATAACATTTATTCTGCTCTGCTTCAACGTATTGAGCACTGTTCCACGCGAAAATCGACTTGCAGACTTCCTATATATATATATATATATATATATATATATATATATATATATATATATAGGAAGTCTGCAAACTTATTTTACGAATTAAAATCTTATTATCAGATTAAAATCTGTCTGATGATCGCGTAAGCGTGAAACTCAGAGTCACAGAAAAGTTGTCTTATTGATTTGTCCAACTTTCAGATATACCACGCTCTGCGAACGCATCGAGCACTATACCGCAAGGATAGACTGTAATCAAGATTTTTGTATATATATATAAATATCGAAAACTCATATAAGTTAAATATATTCTCATAAAATTAAAAAAAAAAAAAAGAACAATGTGCGTCGTACAGTATTGAATAGCATTAACCGGATGTTTAATGTTTGGTCTGAAGTTATTTTGTAAAGGTAGAACAGTTACATTAGGATCGGCACACATGAACTGACTAGTAGCCGCGACTCGTAGCGAGGACTAAGTCCCTTCAAATAAACTACCATTTAAATTTTTCATCAAATGGTCTAGTCGCAGGGTCCAAAACGTAAGCCTTGCGACTCAAACTGGTTTGAATTCGTGAGAAAAGTCGCAAGAACTTGTCTCCCCAAATTATCCGGGTCCCTACGTGTAAACTGTTTATGGGATAAGTCCTTACGACTAAATGAACCAATCCAATCACTTTAAAAGAGAAATATAATCGCGGCGTTCCGACTGCATACTGCTAGTCTTCACGAAGCGAGTAAGACTGGCGGTAAAATAATCAGCCGAAACGTCGCGATACACATCCGAAGTGACCACATCGTGAGAGAAACGATTTTATCATGTAAACTATGGTGTTAAATAAGGATTATTAGCCCTGAGAAAAGCCGTAACAACACACGTGAAAAAAAAGATTTTTTTAACTTTGTTTGATATCGCTAATCAGCTGCTGACACGTCACTCGCCTTTTGCGCCACTTGGTCAGGTTAATAAATGAACGGCAAAGCCTTCACCATTTTCAATTCATGTTGTTAGTCGGAATTTTCTCGTATCCTGACTGGTAAAGTACTGAAAAATCCGTATGGTTTTCAGACACTGACGTTCAAACTTTCCTAGAATGTAAAGAAAACCAAATTGCGAAAAGAAAAGCCGAAAGTTACGCATTCAGTGGTTTTGGTAATGGCATTTCTCGCAGCTGAGAGCGAAAATCGACAACTAGTAGATTTTCCACGGGCCAATTTTGTCAATGTAGCTGAAAGATTTGTATAGGTCATGTAAACGTCAAAAACTGACAATTTATTTTTATATTGAAAATGACGCCCATTGTTGTTTTGTAGTGATTCAGCGCTTTTTTTTCCATATTGAGCTTTATCGCCAACGCACTTTACGATTTTTATTTGGGGATTGTCGATTCCTTTATTTTCATTCGTTAATAAAGCCGACTTTTCTCGTCGGCTAAGGGCTACTGTGTTTATAAGATAAACAAGATAATACAAGGCTGCTTGCAGATATGGAATTTCCCTTCAAGTTTCAAAAGTTCATCAAGCTTTGCATCCACCTTGCATCCACCTTCTCTCGCAACCCGAAAGGAATTCTGCGTACTTGCTGTGCCACAGGCTTCACCGACTCATCAACATGCAGTTCTTATTCGTAACCCTTCAAAAGTTCAACTCCACTAAACAAGTGCTTGTATTTCTCTCTAAAATCACTGTCCGGTCGTCCACTGTCAACACTGTTAGCCTGAAAAGGACCAACACGCATCAGGTTTAGCGCCTCGGGAGTTTCGCGACCCAACGGCGTACAACCATCCCCTTCAACCACTACGAAGTCAGCCTTGTTTCCATCTTTAAACCCAGCTTGCGTGACATCTGCCATAAAAGTTCCTAGGGTCGGTAAAGGTTCTACACCACCATAAACAAAAAGTTCTTTCAGTGGTGATAGTAACCCCTTTTATTCATTTGAAATTTCAATCAGTCGATTTTTCTAGACCTGGCAACGGAAGAAGAAGTTATTGCTATTGAAAAACGAGTAGTCAGTCACAAAAAGCTGCGGCCATGATAGTATTCCTATGTATACAATAAACAGGAAAATTTCTGAACGTTATCTCTGTCCCGTTCACACAAGTGGTTAATTTATCTATATTGCATGGCATCGTTGCAGAAAAAATGAAAATTGCCCGCGTTGTAGCCAAATTAAAACTTTGTTAGTAACGGGTCTATATTTCTCTGATGATATGCCTGTCCCGATCGTTCCTCGCTTTTAAACATTTCCAAAGTGAATAGCTTACAGTCTAATCTTAATCAGTAGCCAAGTCATTACCGAGGAAATCACCATGTTGCCGAAAACTCCCAGAGTTCGACTCAAGTATCGCTTAAGAGGCTTTCAGTCGTTTGCTTAACGATACAAGGTTACAACGGTTTTCGACGTGATCTCAACTTCTTCTAAACTGTGTGTGCTGTTGTCAAACGGCGGGAATTGTGGTCAGAAAAAAATTATCGATGAAATATGTGGGAAAGTTTGTAAGGCATCGGTGGGGATATGAAAAGATAATTTAGTTTTATCAATTGAGATAAAGTGAATTGTCTATCATTCAAACTTTCCAAAGCTAGCTTTGGAAACTCTTCACAGCATCTAATCTACATTATCAACTCAGTTGATAAAACCAAATTGTCGTCGAAGTAACTTTTTTTAAACATAGATATATTATTTCAAAGCCAGTAAACCGTATTTGCAAAAACTGTGCCCCTTGGTCTTGAGTGTCGCCCGAGGTCCTAAGGCGTTACTCAAGACCTCAGGCGCAATGTTTCCCAATACGGACTGACCTAGGCTAATAAATGACAAATTTGAATTTTATTTAAAACTTAACGAAAGGTTTGCCAAAAGAACCCGAATAACAAGCCTCTTTTGTTCCCCATTCACTTTCCAAAATTTTAGAGCAAATAGCTTACAGTCATATCTTCTTTTTTGATGGCCAAGTTGTTACCGAGGGAATCGCTATGTTAGCGTAAACTTCCAGAAATTCGACTCTTGTATCGTTCCAGAGGTTTTTCTTTTGCTAAACGATACAAGTATATGGCGGCTTTCGACATGATTAAAAGATTATTGTTATGTACATACTCTACTCGTCTTTGGACCATCTTTACCAAGTTTATTACAGTGCCACATGTCTTATTACAAAGAGTGAGAGGTATTACAAAGTGAGGTGATTATTACAAAGTTATTAAAAAAGTTGGCTTCTCGTTACCTTCTATATTCTCTCAACTAACCGACAGTGATCGCAGTTTAGGTTATGGTGTCTTCGCTTATCGTGCTGAACTAATATTTTCTCCCATAAGAATGAAATATTCTTTGTACTCCCCAGGCCCTAACGTGCTTGACGAGGTGACTTTAGGGTCTTGAAGCAGAATCAAA